CCTGTCCTTCACCAATGGACTGGGGTGGGGCACACACCAGTCCCCTCTGAGCCTCTCCTTGGGTTCACTGCACTATGGGGAGCTGCTCAAGAGCATAGATCCTTCTGCTTTGCACGGGGCTCCATTTTTCCTGGCAAAGTGGTAGCGTGCTGATCTTTGCTCCCACAGAGAGGCTAAGTGTGTATGTGGGGAGTGACTGTGGCTCCAGCCAGCATGCACGCACCCCAAAACTTCTGGGCTGGATTATATGGCCTGCTGAAACAAAACTGCAGGACAAACTCCAAAAGAAGCCAAGTTAATTAATGGCTACATCTGTCCCAACCACATAGCTTGGCTGGAGCAAAGGACTATCAAAAGAAACAAAGGGGAAAAGCCAGGCCCAACCTCTAGGCCTGGGCTGCAGATAGTTTGAGTCCACCGTGGGTTGCACCTGCCCACCCTGACCCAGTCACAGATCATGTCTCTCCACCCAGCAGCAGATCCCCCATCCCTTCCAGCCTGCTGACCCTCCACCACCCCATCCTGACTTACCTGATACTGGGCAGCCATTTTCAACCGACTTGAAGTTCCCTCTAATGCCCCCAAATGTCTGTGCTTAGCCTAAAAGATGGTTTAGTAAGGTAGAAGATTATAGGTATCTTCAGCAGCATCCTCCCTGTCATGTTATCATCTAACTCTTGCAACTGGCTAAAGAGCTTGCAGCAGGCAAAACATATAAAAGATTTTACATATGAAGGTCATAGATGATGGGGGCTAGTCATTTCTCTGAGATCTTTATCATAATGCATGAAGAGATCTGACTTGTGTCACAGAGACAACCATATCCCCAAGCTCCCCACCTTTGTGAGGAGCCTGGAGCTCAAGATGAGTCATTCAGAGCCAGCTATCAGCCATAGCAGCAATTAAACCACCTGCTTCCCACATACTGCAAAAAAACTGTTGGAGTGAGGAGAAACTGTTTGGGGGTGGAAATCTCACTCCAGTGAGACCTAACAGTGGGAAAAGCAAAAGGTAGTTAAGGGAAAAGGTAGTTAAAACTTCTTCATGCAATGCATAATTACTGTAGGGAACTGATTACCATAAGATGCTTTTGAGGAATTTAAGGTTAAAAAAGGATTAAACAGTTTTTTAAATATTCATATTTGGTATCATTATTACTCACTCCTCTTTTGAATATATGTCACTATTTTGAGCTATAGAAGTAGACAGACAGGAGAGAAGTTATACTCTTGTTCGTTGATCAAGAGAAATGGCAAATCCAGCAGCTTCAGCTAGGCCTGTCAAATAGTTGGAAGAGGTCCATCTGCACCAAATCAAGTGTTTTGCCAAGCAACGCCTATAACATTCCCCAAAATTGATCAGCTGCAATGTTCATAGAGGATTACCTTGCATCCAGAGAAGGGCCACCTGGATGAGCTTCAGACCTTGCTGTGCTTATCCAGTGAAGAATTAAGACTTGAAGTTACTTTTCTAAGATGATGCCCTATTGGGCTTTTTGAATATTAGATACTTTCTGAGGCCACCCCTAACATGGGGGAAGAGGATATCTTCAGTTTGAACAGCCATTTTCTCTTTCTGAATACCTTAGATAGCAGAGTAAGAGGTGACCTACAATTGCATCCATTACAGCTGCTTTTTCACAGTAGAGGGTGAGCCAAGAAAATACTTATCTGCTTTTTCTTCCACATCTGGCCTGTTTATGCTTCCATTCCATGGAATCTGCTTGGCATGGTGGCTTATCAAGTGAGCAGGGGCCACTGATTTCAGTCTGCAGTGCTGAACTGTCACAAGGACTGGGTAGGAACATGACAGCTTACATGGGATGAGCTGCCTGATTAGTATTGGTGAGTGCAGTGAGGCATTTGTATACTTTTTCCTGATGACTTACCTAATCCTCTTGTTGCCAGAGGCCTGCCTAGATGTGCTGCGCTTGAAGCAGCTGCTCCTGTTTTAACCCAAATTGCTCTAGAGCTCCAAACTTGGACTTTTAGGAAGTAAAAAAAGTACTGCTTTGAATTTGTTCAGATCTAGTGGCCAAAGTAAGACTGCCCTGCAACAACTGGAAGCAGATCAAATTAATTAGGAATTTAAATGGCAGTGGCTTCACCCTGCTTACAATGATTGGATGATCTGATTCAAAGGAACTACAAACAGAAATAGGTCCTGCAGTAATGATTCTGCTGACTTGCCTTGTGAAAGGTATCAATTACCCTTAAGTTACCAAGGTGTCCTTAAGACAGATGTGGGACAGAACTATTGTAATTTTCATTTACTGCAGATTTGTGCATGTTAATCTGTGTGAATGTCATCCAGTGGCACCTGTCTGAGGTCAGTAAAAATCTTGACAACATGAATCTTTACCAAGTTAAAGTAACTGACATTTAGTCATGAATTTAGCCACAAGTTACAGCCAAATTTGCTTGTAAGATGCTATCAGATTAGTTTGTATTTACAAGCCCATTCTCAATTTGTAAGTAGCAAATCACTGTTTTCAGCCTATACCAATTTTTCACATGACCATGTAATACTGAAGACGTTAATACTTTTCATATGCAGCGTTTGCTGAATCGCAGCAGTAGCACTTAAACATCAAGGCATGTGGATGAGAAAGAATCACCTCTGATCTTTACAAAGGCCTCTAAACAGAAAAGCCTTCACAGCAGTACATTTCAGGGAATATCAGCCAGCCTCTAGCCTTTGCCTATGCAAATAAAAAGTGAAGCAGTAACTTCTTTAAGCATCAAAAATAAAAGTTGTTTCAGAAGCAAGATGTAAAAAGCTTTTGTCTAAGCATATTATAAATAGATTTAATAAGTGCAAATATGAATACATGTATACCTACCATAGAAACTGCCTTTCTGCAAGTAATCTGGCATGGATCCATTGCATAAGCCATGTATGCTTAGAATATTTGCAGAACTCCATGTAGCCCCTGCTTTTGCCCAACCACCGTTCTGCTCCCTCCACAAACTCAACAGCCTTTGGTACGGTTTAAAAAAAAAGGAAAGCATAACAGGTTGGCAGGGTTCAGGCAATCAGCAGCTGATCAGTAAGCGTGCCTGTGGCCCGGAGGTCCCCAATTACCACATGGCTAGCTGGCATTGTCCCCACCGAGCAGGGATGGCTCTCCCAGCCATGTGGGGTTTGGGACCAGCTCCCATGCCCCCTGCCAAACACAGGGCTGGAGCCTGGAGCTCTCCCTCACTGCTGCAGGGGGAGGAAAGTAGAGCTGAAGCAGCTCTGGACTGGCCTGCTCCTGTAAGGTACAATTTGCTCCTGGGAGGGGGTGAGGAGTACACTTTAATAAACCTGAATTACACATGTAGACATACCCACTGGGTACCTACATTTCTGCTGCTGGGCATACAAAGTCAGTTAAGGCTTGAAAATTTTATGCTTTTAGTGCCTTAACACTGTAGGGATCCTCGGCAGTGTTTTTATTTGCCATGCCTCTATGACTGAACCCAGTAGGTGTTTTCAGAACAAGCTTCCTAGATTAGGCTTCACATAAAGCAGAAAGGAAATACACCAGTGATTAAGACTGAACTTGGGATGTGGGGAACCCCCACACTGCCTGATTTGGAGCAAACAAATGAACTCAGTCATCTGACTCCCCAGGTGTGCCCTAGCCACTGGGTTCTGGGGTAGGGCTTGCTTATTTTCTCCTGATAAAGCATATATTTAAATATTCAGTGGAGTCAGGCCAGCTGTAACAGCCAGAAATTCTCACTAGCCTTGTTAAAATTTAAGTATTTCAGAGAAGTAAAACAGTCTGAACAGGATAGAGAACTGCACAAAATACTTGGTAGAACAGCATTTCCCAGAAATTGTGCCCTGGGAATCACAAGTTTTTCTAGATTAAAAGTTGGTGGCATATTTCATTTATACCAAGGCGTGTGTACAGCATGATACTCCCATGTATGTGCATGCACACATTCATGTGCACATGTGCCCAACCTTTTGGCCCTGAGAGTTATGTGAGCAGTGCCAGGTTGGTCCAGAAGCCAGATGTAGGATTGGGCCCACATCATACTGCACAAGGCTTGGTAATCTGGTTGGCAGGGAGTGGTGGTAGAGGCCAAATACTAATCATTTAAACAGAGAGAAAATTTGGAGCAACTAACTCTCGCACCAGAAATTATTGATGTAAGGCTATCAAACTAAACTCTGCCGTAGTCTGCATATGGAAAACTTTGATAGTTATGTCAAAAACTGCATACAGATTTAAAACTAAATTACTCAGCTTCTTGCAAAGATACAATATGCATGTAACAAGGGCAGAGAACAAATTGATTCATAGCACAACCATAATTTACTGAAAGGCAAGAAAAAATTTGAATATTAGTCCTTTTAGGATTTAGCAAGCTAAGATTTGTACCCAATTTTGATCCCATTATAAATCCTGCAGTAAACTGGACGTTATCTATAAACTTCTCATTTCCAATATTGTCTTTTGTTTAGCTTTTACTGATGCTTTTCAGAATAAAAGCAAACCGGGGTGGAAGAAAACTATGATGGGCTGAAAAGGACATACCAGAGAGAGAACAAGCCGGGGTGGCAAAAAGGTGCATGCATATGATAGGTATGCCATATATTAGCCCCATAACCTCTTGAGTGCCACTTGGCCCTCCCTCCACGACTCTATTTAGCAACAGCAGTACCCATAGCAAGTTAAGGAGTTGCACTATAAAATGGGGATCTCTGAGCTAGCAACTCTGCAGGTGGTCTATTGGTCTTTAAGTTAAGCAACCTCCTTCAACTCCCCAAACATTTAGTCTTCATCCAATAGGTATTTTTAGTAGGTTTCCAGATCTCAAATCCAAGTTCTCTCTCCCTGTGCTTTTATGTTATTAGAATGCTTTGAGGCTCAGGTCCATCTCTACTAGAATCTCTATATGCACACTTGTCTTTTATATGGAAAGAAAAGATATGTGAAGAAATACAAAGAGAAACTTTAATATAATCCAAGTAACCATGTCTGAAAAGAAGCAGAACAGGGACACAGTTTTAAGAATAATTTATTCAAAAACAAAACTTCTGAAACATTGAGGACCATGCAAAAGTTAAAAACAATACAGTTAGCTCAAGTTGTCATTCAAGGGAAGTGACATGCTCATATTCACATTACGTACCCAGAAATTCATCATCTATGGACAGCAGTTTTCTCCTGTCAAGCATCCTACAAACCCCATGAAGCACACTGCAGCATCTAATGAATGCAGACGCTTTCTTGACAACTCTGAAATAAAGAGAAACTTAATAAGATCTTAAGTCACACGCTAAAGCAAAAGACCAATAAATATGGTAACATTAACAGTTCAAACCAATGAGCCTTAAGATAATAAGGCTCCACAGTAAATTTCCCTGTCTTCAGTTACTAACATCTAGAACTAGAGTGTTAATGGATTTCATATATTTGTCCCTCCAGACAGGATCCAAAGCAGAGTTTTAAAGCTCACCTCTGGGTTTCAGAGAGGATTACTATACCCCTCTGTGTTGGCCACTTAAGACACAGCCAGCCTTAAGAGGGCAAAGCTGAAGGGGATGTTACCCAACATAACCTCTTTCCACAAGGCATTCATTCTTGCAAATTAAAAAAAACAAACAAACTCAAGTGCTTTTATTTATGAAACATCAATTATTGCCAAGTCACAATCAAAGCAAATGGCCAATTCTCATTCCATCAGAATCTGTTACCTTCTGGCAGAGGAGCAGTCTTACATTTTGAATGAAGTGCCTTTGTAAATGTTCAGGTGTGGCCATTTATCTGCAAAAAAATTAAGATGTAAAAACCCATAACCATGCTGCCTTAAAAGATTTAAATGCAAACTTCCAGAAGAAAACCAAAGCAATATAAAACTACCTGCTTACATTTAAAACAGACATCTACCTAGTGAAAGCAAAGGCCTTATTTCAGCATTGTAGTTTATACTCCTTGTATAAAACTGAACCATGAATAACAGGCTAGCTTTTAAGTCACATGGCTCAAGCTTATGAAGAATACTTGCTACCAATCCCTGCCATTCAAACAGGGAGGAACAACATGTCTTAACACTAACTGGAACTGAACTTGAATCTTTGATGAGATCCAGTTCTTTCACACTGGAAAGGATTTCTTTACTGGACTGTGTAGTTGGGCTAAGGTGGAACAAGCTTTTGAACATGCGATTCTTCCTCAGAACCGCTTCATGGGCACCCGAGGAAGAACATGTTCCACTCAAAAGCTTTTCCAACTTTATCCCATGTGCAGACCTGCTCCAAAGCAATCCTCACCCTAATAAGTTCTGCCCTTGGCATAACTGCTGGACCATCACTGCTGTATCTGACAGCACTGGCACCACAATAAAGGCAGCCATTCCATTTCCTGCCAGTGACCAGCTAATCGATGAGCAAAGTGTCTCACAGCCTGTAACAAATCCCATGTGCGGAAGGGCAGTATCTCAGCATTTGAGAGAAATACACTGCAAAATAAAACTTAAATACATTTTTAAAGAGGACTAAAGAAGAAACATGAAAGCAGCTCTTCCACACTCTTAGAGACCCTGAACCTCAGGTCATCACAGCTCCTGCCCAGAACAAAGACCGAGGTAGCACCTCCACAAAGGTGCATTTCTCCCTGCCTCCCCCACCTGGGGGCACGAGGCAGCCGGGTCCTCAGGCAGGCCAAGCTCTGGGCCTCCACCTCCGCGGGCGGGCGGGCCAGGCCCGGCGCTGCGGGCACGCGGATCCCGATGAAGCCGCCGGGCGCATCCTTGGGGACCCTCGTGACACTGGGGGGGAGGGAGGGCAGCGACGTGACCCCCAGGGCGCGCGGCCAGGCCAGGCCAGGCCACCCCTGGGATGCCGCGCCCAGCCCCACACCACCTACCGCGTGCACCCAGTACGACCACGGGAAAAGGCTGAGGCAGAGCCTTCGCGGCACTTAAATAGCAGCGCACTGTTCTCGCGAGACTCCGCGCGTCCGGTGGGGCGGGGAGGGGAAGGGGCTGCCCGCATCGCTATTGGTGGGGAGGGAGTGCGTGACTCGCGGTGCCGGAGTGGGGGCGGGGTGGAAGGCGCTGTAGCCGCCGGGCGCCGA